TTGTGATGACCCACCTTGATGTCAGTAGTATCTAGAAAATCTTGTTCCTGAAGTTGGTTGGTAGAAACAGACACCTTACCATGTTGGGTGTTGTTAAAGGGAGGCGTCTGGGAGGGAGCAAGCTACTGGCTGCCACCTCTGACTTATTTAACCACACTGTATTTTATGGAGTCAGTTTTACTTAGCAAGAATAGCCTACAAAGAAATCATATTCTCATAAATACATGTGCAAATCTGTCTTGGGGGGTTGAAATAATTGTTAGATAAATCCAATTGTAAGAGATAAATGAAAGAAATCTTCAATTTACACAATTTAGATAGTATTATGCATGATGTGATTTTCTTCTAATTGAAGATAGGGGGGATTTTCCAAGTTATTTATGAACTCAGTGAAAAAATTAGAATGTGTTATCAAATATATCTTGATGTCAGTTTAATCCTAACACTAGTCATGCATTTTTAAATTTCCAGAAGAAAAAAATATCCTCATAAATGAATCTTAGTTACTCTTTCCAATGTACTCTCAGAAATGGGCCTAGGAATAATACAATAAAGTTTTACATAAGGTACAGTGGGCAACAGAGGAGAGAATGGTGGGAAATATATTAGTCTTTAGGAAACATTGTTTTAACGCTTATGGTTGTAACTAATTTTATATGTTTTGGTTACTGAAGTAATATAGTAACATGCATTCTGAAAATGTGTTCATATACGAGATCTGACAATTAAGTTCGTGAACTATCCTAGAAAAAGTGCTACATACCTCGTTGTTGAATATAACTATGGTCACCTTCAAAGTACTCCCCTTGGGAAGCTATGCACCGATGCCAGAGCCTAGTCCACCCTTCAAAGCAATTTTGGAACTCTTTTTCAGGAATGACCATCAGAGCTGTCATCATATTACCCTTGATGTCTTGAGTGTCATCAAAATGTCTTCCTTTCACGTGGAATATAGTGTGGGAGTGGAGTCAAGGGAATTGTAATAGATATGTATGATATGGGGTGGGGGAAGTGGGGCGGTGGATTGGGGGAGGGGGATTGTCACTTCGAGGGGTAAAAAGTATAACTATTGCACTGTGTTGTACAGCTGAAACTAATTTTTAAAAAAAAAGGAAAAAAAATGTCTTCCTTTCAATATTTCCTTTACCTTTGGGTAAAGAAAGAAGTCATTGAGGGCCAGATCAGGTGAGTAGGGAGGGTGTTCCAATACAGTTATTTGTTTACTGGCTAAAAACTTCCTCACAGACAGCACCGTGTGAGCTGGTGCATTGTCGTGATGTAAGAGCCATGAATTGTTGGCAAAAAGTTCAGGTCGTCTAACTTTCACGTAGCCTTTTCAGCACTTTAAATAGTAAACTTGGTTAACTGTTTGTCCAGTTGGTACAAATTCATAGTGAATAATTCCCCTGATGTCAAAAAGAGTTAGCAACATCGTTGCAACAAGTTCATGAATTTAATTGTCAGACCTCATGTATCATTACCTGTAGTAAATAATTGTAATTCCATTTTAGGTCTCAAATATATCTAATTCTCTCTATCTTCTCTGCTCCTGGATGGATGTAATGGCCTCTTGGCCCCTGCTCAGTCTGTTTGCCTCAGATGGGGTCTTGTATCTGGAGGAAAGTGGAGTTTCTCTTTTGTCTATTGTCCTCAAGTTAGGGGGAACATAGCTGTTCGTGGTGCATTTGCTAAGAAAGTTAATTCTAGCCATGGCGTCTGGCTTATGAGTCCAAACATCATCATGTCAGAAGAGCACAGAGCTCCCTTCAGGATTACTCTCTAAATAGGGATGCCAGGAACCACTAGTTTAGGTACAGGTACTGCTAAGGGGTTAAATCCCAGTGTTGGTGTTTATATTTTCTCCCCTCCCTGAACCTAATAGGGGCTTTTACCAAAATTCTAAGTGACCATTTTCCATGAATGAAAGATTCCGGAGAGGTTTTCTGGCTTCCTTTTTCAAGTATGGTAAGTTTTAGCCCTGATCCATTTATCTATAGGAAAGGAACACTATGCTTTTCCCACTAGCAGGACTAGGTGATAATTAAGGCCATAAAACCAGTGCAAATGGGATTATGAAAATCCTCATTCATTGAGGCTGCATTTAAGAGCAAGATAACTAGTAGGTATGAAATAAAGGGCCTTTGTCAAGGACCAAGGTCAAGGAGCATGGGACATATGGTCAGCCCACATGATAGGCAAAAACCAATTAGATGGGGTGTTAGGAACAAGCTGGTTTCCCTTTTAAAATAAAAATCACCTCACAACTATTTATTAAGCCCCTGCAAATTTAGAGACATTACCCTAAGGTCTGATGCTGGAGGGAACCAGAAAGATTGATCCTAATGATGAGGATGATAAAATGCTTACATTTAATGGAGGGAGGCATATAATAAATGATGTCTAAATAAACAAATTTTAGTGACTCAAGAAAAGGTTAAAGGCTTTATTCAGAAGCACCTGAAAACCAGGTAACTCTCCAAGTCAAAGCAGTGCTGGGATTTTACAGGCTGAAGAGAAGAGGGGGTGCTTGTCCTGTGGTCTGGCTCAGGTGTTTTCATCTTCAGCTGCTGTCACTGTTGCAGCTGGTGTGGTTGGACGTTGTTTTTGTTGCTAGGTCTTTTGCTCACAGTTATTGTTGTAAAACCATCCAAAAAAAAACTGTCAGAACTTTTCTTTTGAAAGCAGTTTTTTATAAATTGTGCCGTTTGTTGGTTAGTCAAGGTTCAGGGGCAGGGAAAGGAGCAAAGAAAAAAGAAAGGGAATTAAAAAAAGGAAGAGAGGCAACTGTCAAAGGCTGTTTTTGTTCTTTTGCCGAAAGTATACAAATAAAAAAAAATATCTTCAGGGTTTGTAAATTGAATGAAAGATGTGAATTCAGGGAAACGTGGCAGAGAGTTGTTAGGGAGGCAGTTCTAAGGAGGAAACATACATGTTGAAACCTGACTTTAAAGAAGGAAAAAAACCATGTGAAGATAAGGGAGATTTAGCACCTGCAAACACTCTGGAGCAGAAATCAGTTCGGCATGTTCACAGAGAAGAAAGAGAGAGGGAGATCTGTGAAGAAAAGCTACAGCTGGAGAGTTTGTAGGCCATGCTTTAATGTTTGGTGACATGGGGAGAGAAGGCAGTAAGGAGGCAGGAAAGTTCATCCTTGATTGCTACGGTTTTAAGCTGGCATCAGCCCTTTCTGTGCGTGGCAGGTGTTTAGAGCAGATTCTCAGAGTGTTCTGGAATGGTGGTTCTCAGATGTTAATGTGCTTAGAAATCATGTGGGCATTCTGTTAAAATGCAGATTCTAATTCAGAAGGCCTGAGATGGGACCTTCTATTCTACACCTAATGAACTCTTGTGTGATGCTGATGATGCCAGCAGAGGAGCACCCTGAATAGGAAGGTCAGGGGATTCTCTGGGGACCACTGTCTCATCTCCAACCCCTAATACTTAAGGCTTCAGAATGGGTATAGCCAGGTTTTGCTTTATTTCTACTTCACCATTCGAGGTGTGAAGACTTTTTCTTGGTCTATTTATTAACCCACCTGAAATCACTAAGATCTCCTAAGAGGGCTGGTCCTTGGTAGATTTCTAATTCAAATTTTAAAATGGCAGGAGGTATTTAAACCACCTTCCCTCCAAGTGTCTTTAATTTAATATTTCAAGGTTATTTTATCATATGCTATTTACAAATTCTCTGTTGTCGCTGAGGAAGATTAATGGTTGTTAAATGAAAATGCCTACTTTTTCACTTATTTAATTACAGAGCTATATTTTCTTCATTGGGAACTCTTTAGACTGCACAGTACAGACACTGAAACTATTTGCCCCATAATAAATGTAGGAAATTCTTTCTAAATTATGCCAAATAATTTAAAAATTATTTCTTAACAGGGAAAAAGGCAGTTGTAGATCACATATATAAAGGTAGTGATTTGACTATACCATTGCCTAAGCAAACTAGGAACAACCACAAACAATTATTTCCTCCACTGTGATTAATCAACTTAGAAGTCCAAAGTATTTTTTTGTTTTTGTTTTTTGGTTTTTTTCTATTTCCTACAAATGCAGAGCAAGGGGGAAATGACTCTAAGTCAAGAGGACTATGTTGTTGAATTGTAAGAATATCACATGAATTTATAGGTTGTGTAATAACTGGTGATGGAGAACAATGGCTATTCTTCTAATGATCCTCGCTTAATATTTTCATTCATTTTTAGGAAAGTATGTTGTTTAAGAGCAATGGGTTTACGATATTTATGGGCATAATGTCTGCTCAGTTTACTGAGTATAATGGCTACATAATGTCTAATTACAGAATGTCTACTATATGTGTGAACTCTGGTAAATTAGTTAGGCCCTTCTGAAACTCTGAACCTCAAACTCCTCATCTACGAGGTCTGTATTACAGCAATGCCTCCTGAGGTTTATAACAATTAAACAGGATACTCATGTAAATTGTAAGTGTGGTGTCTGGTACACCGTAAGCTTGCAGTAAATGTGAGGCATTAATATAAGTAGTGATTGCTAATTATTATTTTCCCAACAAGAACAAATCCAATTCAGGAAGAACTAGTTAGCGGAGCCTTCAAAACATATTCGTAATTTAAAGCTCACATACCAGCTGCTAATTTGCTTGTTTATTTCATTTGATTTTTCTTAGCTGCACATAAGGGAGGTGGGTGGCAGAAGCTTAATTTATTTGTCCCTTTTTTTGAAAATGTGGGTTTTGGCTCTCACACTATTTTGAGGCATGGCCTGGCGGTGGCACTGGGGACGTGCACACTTTAGGGAGGTGGGAGGGTTTTGTAGTTCTCACAGTGGCTCGAGCATCTTTCTCTCCCCCAGTGATCATTGTAGGTGCTAGATTGCCAGTGCTGCCAGCCAAAGGCCTTCCTCCCACAGATCTGGGAACACATGAAAAGAGCCATGATTCATGGGCTACAACTTTTTCAGCTGCTTGATACAAGCATTGATAGGCTCAATTCCCATGCTTTCATCACCCACAGGCTGGCTGAAGGGGAAAGGGCTCTTCGATTTTCAAATAAAGTGCTTTCCGACGATAATTGAGAAGAACTGAGAGATACGTGGCGAGGTTAGGATGTCATTCCTGTTTCTTGGCTGGAGCCAGTGGAAGGACAATCTGGGGTGATACCACGGTATCTGCAGATCCTTAGAGGTATGGCATGCAAAGTACTTGCAAATCTGTCTTCACAAACTCTCAGAGTCGCTGCTTTCGGGCATTTCATCCATTGTACTCTGCACTTTTCTCTAGCAGCACTTAACTCATTGTGTTACTTTTGCTGTGGTGGTTGTTATTGGCCTGTCTGTCTCCTGGGGACTGTGTGCTTGGTTCAGGGCAAGTCTTCTGCCTTTTTAATCACGTCTCCAGCCCTGAGCTTTGTGCCTGGTAGATAGTAAGTGCTTAAAGCAATTGTTGGCCACATGGATGGATGGATTGGTGAATGGGTGATGAATGGATGAATGGCTACACTGATGAAATTGGGGAAAAGAAAATACTGTAGTACAGTGCATTGTGCTTCACGTGGAAATACTCTTTAATTATCAAATGGACATTTGGTGAAAGGAATTATTGATTAAAAGGACAGTTCTGAAGTCCAGAAAACTTACTTCGGTGTCAAACTATTAAGCTTCTGAGCGGCTATTTTGTCCTTAAAACCCCCAAGTCATTTTGGGGAGAATTTAGAATAAAAAAAAAGTGTTCTTAAAAGTATAAATGGATGCCTGTGACAGACAAGACATTTTAAATTAAAATTAAAATAGATTTCATTTATTTAAAGGTATGATATATTGAATTTGTAGGAGATGTACACAGACTGAAAGATTAATGTTCCATTGAGAAAGAGCTATAGAAGTTCATCCAGGCACCCATTGAAACAGTGTTTGCTGGAGTCCTGCTTGGTACTGGATACAATGGACTGAGAGATGAATTGACCCACATCTTAGTGTTCTGCGTCTTCACAGTAAATCAAGAAGTAGACATGAAAATAAGTCATTGTAGTAGTAGGAAAATAGAAATAATATCATGTCACCATGAAAACACAAGAGGTAGACTTTTTTAATCCTGCTCAGAAAAATCTAGAAAAGAGAAAAAAAGTGACATCTGAATCAGAACTTGAAGGATATATGGGAGTTTAAGGTACCAGGAAGGAAAAAGAGGTGGTACATGTACAGAGATAGAAGGGCTGGGACAAGCACAGTGCATTCTGGGAAATGCAAATACTTCTGTGTAACTATTATATTGAGCTGTGGATAAGGGAAGTGAGTAGTCAAGATCAGAGAGACAAGTGGGGAAAATCACTCAGGACTTGTATACTGAACAATGGATTCAAAATATATACCTCCATGTAGGCAATGACTGAAGAATGTAGTAATGAGTACTAATTGCTTTTCCAAATACTGAGCTGTAATGACTAGAGAGTGTATTGTAGCTCTACTGTGACAGGTGGGAAAATATGTGTTCAGTAGTTATGTAGTCTTGACCTCATGTACTTTTAATTATTTTGATAAAGGCAATTGATTTAAAATATACTAATGTGATTTCACTTCATGCCCTTGTGTCAATTTGATATATATATCATTTACAAATCAGGAAAACATCCTGGAAAAAAATATCACTGTGGTTAAATTTTAGGCAACATGAAGAATCTTGTTATTCTCAAAATGGACTCATTGATAAGGTCAGGAATAAAATCTAAGACCCCTGGTTTCCTGCATATTGACTTTCTTATGAGATCACCCAGCTCAATAAATGAAATATCCTGCAAACCTGGAAGGTAGGGTTTTATCTTCTTAATTATGCCATGCAAACGCTCTTCTACAGCTATATGTCACCCAGTTCTCCTGCTTGACTTTAAGTACCTGTCTTATAAGTGTTTCCATTCTTTACCTCATATAACCTCACAGATTGATCTTTGGGTAATTTAGTTTAAAGTTTTATTTATATTTCGTCAAATAAATGATTAACCAGATATCATCCTCTTAAAAATGAGTTCTCCCAAATTTGTCAGTGTGCTAGAAGAATTACTATAAAAACTCAAGAGCACATCTTCAAGCTGTCTGGATTTGTCTGATATCTGCTGACCTCTATTTTTAGAATACCACTATGCAAAACACTGTGTGTTTGTATGGGGGGTGGTATACACAAACCACGCTACAAATAGTATGAATATTGGCAAATACCCATGGTGTATACTATATTGCAAGGCATTAGTCTGAGTGTTTTTTATAACATTATCACATGTAGTCCTTGTCTATAAATTGGGTACCTTAATAAATCCTAATTTTATCAATGAGAAAACTGAAGTTCAGAGAAATTATTAAGTAACTTGCTCAGAATATGATCCAGAGCCAAGAAAAGGAGGACCTGAGAATTGAACTGTGTTATCTGTGTCTGGAGCCTGTGCTCTTAGATACTGTACTGGACTCCTGCCCTGGAAGGAACCAGGACCTCCTGGAACCCACATGGAGAGGACAGGTCATGTAGCCATTTGGGAACTATGTCAGGAATTCAGAGTAAGAAGAGAGTTCTTGTCTGGGGTGATCAGAAGAATTCATAAAAGAGGATGCTTTGTAACTAGGCCTCAAGAATTGGTGGAACTTGGTCAGGTGGAGGTTAAGATGACACTGCATGTGAGGAATTGCAATCAGCAAAGGCCCCGAGATGGAAGAGCACAAATTTAGAGGACAACGCATGAATCAGTTTGTCAGGAGTGGAGTGGCGAGTCCTTATAAAAGGGCAGAGGGAAAGTTATTAAAAGGAAAGCTATAGAAAATTCTAGAGAACTGTAAAGTCCAGATAAAATAATTTTAAAGTTATTCTGGATGTGAAGGCTTACAATTTGAAATTTTATTTATTTATTTAATTTGTTTGTTTGTTTGTTTATGCAAAGGAGTTAACTAAGGGAAGATGAATTGGGCAGCTATGAGTAGGATTGACTAGATAGAGAGTGGGAAAGATTTGAAAGGAGAAAAGGGGTTATATATAAATAAATGTAAACAATTTCCACAAGAACAGCAAAACAAAATTTAAGAAAAACAGAGACTCCTGAAGTCTCTTAACTCTGAACTGAAAACCAAGATGATCTGTGACTTTGCTGGAGCAGATGAGTCACGGTTGTGAAGGTAATATATCGCCCACCCTGTACAAACAGGACTTTCTGCACTATCTGAAAATCTGGAAGACAAATCCATTCTTCATTTCCTCCCTGCACTTGGAAGGCATGAGTAACACAGTGCTTTAACTTTTCCTCTGTACTTTGGTGACAGATTTGGCCAAGATAGATGTACAGAGGGGCATGGTTAGTACATTATTTTCAGGTGTCTGTGGCTGTCTTGTGGTCTGGAGTGATGACACGCATGCTGCACTGAGGTGGGCATTAATAACGGTTGTAGCTCACTCACTCAGGGCACAAGGGACCAGGAATGACTGAGCCGAGAGAAGAGCCGCAGGCAGTAACGGACATTCTTACCTAAGGCCCTGTAGTTTCTGAAGACACACAAAGCCAAGGATCTGAACCGTTTGGGTTTCAGCTTTCTGCTTGGACGGTCTGTGCATCTGGGCCACAGGCATGCAGATTTCAAGAGAAGATGAGAGGGAACCCGCGGGATGAACATCTGAAGAGAACTCTGAGGTGGGGAGTTCCACCTCAGCTCTGTGTTCATTGGACTTGACATTGTAGGGCGTCTAACCAAGTGTACATTTTTTTAGGAAGGTGAGTTTTGAGAGAGATCTGGGAGATGCCAGGTTTGCGCCGTAAGTAGCAGGATCTGCGTGGCCTTGTCTCTCTATTAGGTGGGTTACAATTTGTTGCATCAGAGAAAATGGCAGGAAAGTCGTTCTGGAAGTTGTAATCTTTTTGTAGTAATCTGAGTGAAACTGATTCTTTATGTAACATTTTACTATTTGAGTGATGTGCTGCATTTAAATGGCAACCTCAAATACAATGCCCCAAAGTAAATCACCCTCTGGGGGTATTTCATCAACCTTGGCTTTTTGCGTGATCTTGGTGCCCCATTTCACTCAAGGGGAAGCTTTAACAAGTGAGAACTTCGTAAGCATCTGAAATGATACATAAATGGTGAATATGTGAAAGAAAAAAGCAGATTAAGTAAAACTACATTCAGTTTTGAAACTATTATTAAATCATTCAAATATGAGAATATAAGCCAGTGATGGAGAATGACTTATGCTTCTCATCTTCAAACTCTATTATGAATTTTTCACATGCTTAGCCCTTTTTCCACTTTGAACGTGGCTATGGGTTCAATCACTTTGTAAGGAATAGGATTTTTGGTGAGCTGACAGGCTATATAGCCTGTAAGCTTAACCAAAGGGTATTACTGTCAGCTACAACAGGTTACTTCAGACGCACTGAGAGAGGGGCTAAGACCAACATTTTGGTTGGGGCCCATCTATGTCATTTCACCTATTTTTTTTTCTTTTGCATTTAAAAAAAAATTATTTTTAAATAATCTGAAACATACCGAAGAGTTTAAAGAATCGTACAAAGAGTTCCTGAATCCTCTTACTCAGAATCAACTATTGTTAACAGTTTGCTACATTTGCTTCATAATTCTCTATTCATTATATATTTTTCCAGAACAATTTGAGAGCAGATCGCATAGTTCATGCCCATTTATGCTTTAGTAACTTCAGTATGTATTTCCTAAAAGCAAGACTATTCTCTTACAAAAATTTATTAAGGGTGATACGTTACAGTCCATATTGATTTTGGCATTTGTCCCAATTATATTATTTATGGGGATAACTATGAAAGCTTAGGATCCTGGCATTGCATTTACTGTATTAAAACTCTAACAGCAGCTACAGGGAGACAATTTTCAATAATATTTAGAAAGCAGCAATGGGAGAGTCAGATTTGAGTGCATTTTCATTCTTGAAAGAGGTATCCCTATGAAGTAATGTGTCAGTCAGGGTTCTCCAGAGAAACTAAAGTCAATAGGCCATATATATAT